CCCAGCAGGTTGCGACAGGCAGACACCTTGGGGGGCATTTGCGCATGCAATTGTCATCGGTTCAAGAGTGCATCAATGTATAAATGCCCGAGAAAATCGGTAGGTCCACTAACGTCAAAATTGGAACTGACCCCACGAAAGTGTGGATGGCGGTGAAGCTGTTGTCGGACCTCCGCATAGTGGATGCATGAGCCAACCTTGACCAAAAAGCTACTGGCCTGACATCCCACTTCATGCTTGCACGTGCAGGACCACTGGTGGTCATCCAGCACATTTACACAATGACTCAGAGATTTAGTCGCTCCCTGCGTGCCTCTGTAAGTTCCAAGTGCGCCTGAAGGGCATCCCAATGCATGCCATGCCTGGTGTCGGCGGGATTGCCGGGTAAGCGTGCGACTGTGCTGGCCGCCCGTTATAGGAAGGCTCACGTGTCCACATTCTGCTGAATGCAGCAGGCATGTGCAGACTTCGTTGAATATGTCCAGCAATGCCTGAAGCTTGACGACGCTCTTGTTTGCTTCATTCCATGCGCTGACTTCCCGGATGCTGTTGGCGCGTAGACGTCTCGCACTTGCCATCCTCAACGTAGACTAGAGGGAAGGTTGCGGGCCAAGTCAGAAGCCTTCGGAGCAGGACTTTCCTGAACCCTGACATCAAGTTTGGTTTCCGGAGAGGTTCAGGCGACAGCCCTTTCCACTTGTTCGGAATCACGTTTGACTCAAACACTGCTGCTATGCAAGGCATTGCCTCACATTGCTGGGCTCGAACTGGGTTTTGTTTGTTTGCAAGTCGGTCGTGGCAATGATTTTAAGCAATGCTGTCGTAGTTTGCAGCCTGAGGAAGGAAGCTTCCGATGAGTGAGCTTGCTCGGCTTGCTCCCGTCCACTGCACGTTGCCGTGAGCGGAGCACCGTTCTATGCCTTGGCTTGCTCAGCTGCAGTGCGCCACTTAACACGCAGCAAAAAAGCCGATAACGCCTGTCATTTCACATCTGCGGTGACAAAGGAATTCACATCTGCCACCAGCTTGCAGCTCGGATCCGCTTCGTCTGACTGGCTGCGGCACGTCGCGCTGGACGGTGAGATTTTGAGATATGGGGGTTTCCGAAAATAGGGGGTACCTTGTTCTGGGGTACTATATTAGGGTCCCCTATTTTCGGAAACCCCCATAGGGCTAGATGGGTAGTATAACCTGACAGCTGCTTCAGCCACGGCCCGGTGAAAGCACGCACCAGCTGCACGGAAGCAAATCGGAAACGGGGCCTATCCCACACTTGAGCTGAGCTTCGGCGTCTCTTCGGCGATTTTGGGGAAAAGGCTAAGGTCTCCCGCGAATGCGTGGAAGGCTCTCTGCGGCTGCCGGCCAAGGCTTCCGAGGATTGGTTTTTCGCCGGCTCCTGACTGCAAGTTTGGAAGCTCCTACAAAAATGTGGTCATTCCCAAATCGTCTAGACGACAGAGGTGCCGAAACAAAGCAAAGACGTTTGCATGGACGCTCTTCAGTCGCTTTGAAGCCTCTACGGTTGACATTTCTAGCAGAATTGTCGCAGCAATCGTCCTCGCGCCAGCTGCTAGTAGGTCGAAGACAATGGCGCCAGGGCGATCAAGAACGACGCTGTCGGCAGCGCACGCTGGGTTGGCAAAAGTTTCCATTTGAGCAGGGATGGACCATACTGCCGACTGGACTCGCCTGTTCTGAGCTGAGCTTCCCTTCAGGGCCTTCCCTGTACCCCACTTTCCAATCTGGGTACATATTGAGCTTCAAGACATAGCTGAAAGTGCAGATGTCAAGAATTGCGACGAAACGCACGGACAAATCAAGCTAATGGCACAATCGCACTTCAACTCCGCCAGGGATGGCTGGACTAGACATTTGTGCGTTGGCCTTGGCCATCGAAGCCCTACAGTTCCTTGCTCTCTGCCTGGGAGCCGTAGGAAGAGGGTAGCTCAGGCATTGTACTGAGTTGCAAGACTCGGGCCCCGAGCCGGAGATAAGGCTTTTCTCTGGCCCAGCGAAATAGCAAGGCTCAGAACACAAGGGGCTTCTCATGATCCATGCAGGAGTCCAGAATGGAGGGCTTTCGTCCAGGCGGCTTTAGTTCCCTTGACCAGGACCCTGCCGCAGCCTTCTGTCGGGTCCCGACTCGCATCGCTCCTTTGAGCGGTGGCTTGCCACGGCAAATTTTGAAGAGGCCTCGGCAGCTGTCCCTGATGGCTAGGGCCAGGGCGGTCAAAGCCCAGAAACAGGGAAAAAAGAGACCTGTCTTGAGATCGGTCAGGCGCCGCGACCTGGCCTTCCGAGCTCTGCCAGACAGACTGGACTCGATCGGGGGCTGTGTTGGGATTCGTCCTTTGGACAATGCTGCAGCCAAGTGGGCGCATGGTTCAAAGGAGTGTTTCTAAGCATGGTCCCACTGTTCAGGGAGCGCCTCCTTACTTCGAAGCCGAAAGTTGGGGCGACTCCCGGAGTTGCAAAGCCTACGAGATCCTGTCGCTAACGAAGGTGGCAAGGTGCAGCGCCTGAAGCACATAACTGTGTGAGGGCTGCGAGCATTGGCTGCTTTGTTGCAATTGGCCGAGATGCTTACATTGCGTCACCTCCCGTCAGGATAAGGGGGAAGCTGGACCCTCGTTCGCAAACATGCATATGCCATGCAGCAGTCCTATGGGGTGACCGGTGCTTTCCGCCATGTTAGGTGCTGTGACTTTCCACACGTTTTTGGGCCAGGCCAGCCTCGGGCCTCCGCTCGGTGGTCTTGGAATGAGGGCTTCCGGGGTTCTCTTCATCTTCATGCATGGACCAAGAGCTAAGATCCTCTGTGCACCCGAAGTTAGCTCCAGGGACTTGTTGCCAGCTTGCCCTACTGGCCCTGCATGGCGCTACCAGTCTGAGCCACTTGCGAGATCAGAGCGGAAGGGGCCGAGGATGGCAGCCCCTTCGACGTGGCAGCACTTCACGGCTGTTCCTTGTGGAAGTTGGCTTCTCAGATCCCCCTGTTTCTCCGGCAGTTGACCGGAGAGGGTATGTTCTTGGTAGATAAGGCCATCTAGACAGAAGAGCAACGACACAGGTTTCCGCTTCTCGGCGCTTTGTCCGCCCTCTGTACCCTCTCAGCACCTGCTGCTGCCTGACAACTCTTTCGGCCGCACCGGCAGCATGAGACTGAAGTGAGCCGGTGGCTCTTATTCCTCTTGCCGACACGGCGAGGTCGAAAGAGGTCCGCGGCTGAACGCAGCTTTCTGAGCCCCTGCACGATGGCTGGGATAAAGAGTATGCCTGTGCGCGAGAAAGTGGCTTGAGTCCCGTTGGCGCTCGGCGGTCGCAACAACTTGCCTTTCCTCGAATTCGAGGACACCGCGTGATACAGTAGGTATACAAGTCACATAGGGGCGAAGTAGACAGGTCGCAGCGGGGCCTCTGTTGAAAAGCTTCAGCCGCTAGAGACTCTCCGGTCAGCCCTTGGCGTTAGGATCCCTAGGCCCCTCTCAGCTGCATCCCTTGCCTTCCCTGCATCCCTTGCCTTCCCTCCGCGGCGGCTAATGGTGAGCACCACTCGGAGGCGGGTTCACAAAACCTGCTCGCGCACACGAGTCGTAGCATGTCGCCACCGTCACTTGCAGCATTCTTGCAACATGAAGCCTTCCTTAGTTCTGACAGCACGACATGTAAGCAACGGTTCTTGAACCACTGCCGTCTATTCTCTTCGTCGTTTTGTTTCTGCTGCCAAGAAGCTTCGACGAAGCTGGTAAAGTGACACTGACGTCATGCAGCCATCCGCTCCTTCAGTTCATCTCTCGCCGCGGGCTCTGGAGCGAGCCGAGACATTAACAGGTGCCAAGCGCACCTGTGTGGGATGATGGGCTTCTCAGTGGCAGCATTTGGGCCCTGAAATGAGCAATGCTTGCCAATCAAATGGGCTACCATAATTTCTGTGCAAACAGCATAAGGGAAGAGGTACTCCAGCAAGCAAGAGGCGATACATCTCCGACTCTTCTGATGGACTGCCCTCGACCGTGCTTCGGTGCCCGTTCTGTTCACCGTGATCATCGGCATGTCCGCAGTGGCAGAGTCTTAGACAAGAGCGAAGTCACCTGCAAGAAGAAGTCTTTGAAAGGGGTTTCAGCTCATGTATCAGGCGAGTGCTCCATAGCAGTGCCACCTCCTGCATGAGCAATCAGAGGTGGAAGCTGTGTTCATGATCTTGCAAGCTCGAAGCTGCAATGTACTGGACTGAGGAAGCTCTTCAGGTGGCAGCGGACCAGGAAGTCAACTGTCGCCTTTGAGTCTGGTTCCGTAGGCTCTACTTCCCAAAAGAAGCCCATGGGGTTTCCTGTTTAGGGTTTGGGGCCAGCTGATTGGCAGAGTCTGGGTTCAAACAAAAAGGGGTTTAGGGCCAGTTTAGGGCCAAGATGGAGGGAGTCGCATCATATCCCGTCCAAAGCTTTCGTGATGACTGCAGGAAAGAGGCTGCAAATACATCGGCGACCTCGACATAGCTGTCTTGCTATACGCCAGAAGACAAGATCGGCGGTGCAGATCACTCTGGCACCTATAGGGAGAATAGAAGGACCACACTCTGGAATGGACATGTTGGTCCGATAGTCACGAAATTGGCGTGTCTTTAGTGCAGCAGAGCTCAGCAGCCTCATGCTGTAAAGCAGCCGCCCGAAGATCGATGCAAGTCCGATTGTTGGGAATCAGCTAAAGTGCCTCGCAGTTCATTGCAAGCCGTAACAGGATAGCCACACACAGTCAGTTCCTGCGAGCCAAGGAGACTTGCGCCTGCCGTCAGCCTTCCCTTTGGGTGTTGAAGCCGTGGTGCCCAAGAGGATCGTTCGAAGTAGATGTCTGGGAGGTGCTTCGGGCGTCGGCGTGGGCAAGGTAGGCCGGCGAGGCGGTCCCTGCTTAAAGCCCCGTCTCTTGCAGGGTCTAGGCAATGCAGGGATGGTGACCTCGGAGGCTCGAGCCTTCACTAAGCGCAAGACCGCGGAAGTGCGGTGATGGAGTTGGCACCTCAAAAACATCTGTGGATCGAGACAGACCTGCGGGACACGCAAGACGTCCCAGAGCTTTCGCCGGGGGATGGCATACTCTGGCTGGTTGCGGCTTTGGCGCAAGTCTGCCAGGAGTACGCTGCCGACTGCTCCGCGAAGATTGAGAGCGAGGTGCCCCGACCAGCCCCGCCAGTGCAAACGCACCGTCGGCAAGAGGTCCCTGCACGGGTCGACTCGCGAAAGGCAGACCGGATCGCAAGCAAGCTCGTCCAGCAACCGCAGCCGATGCCTCTGAACGTCATCAAGATTTGTTGACTGTCACTGGGTCCTCCCTAGACCTTGTTTCTCAGGTGTGTCTGCTGCAGTATGTTGGTGGCATCAATTGGCAAGCCTACCTTCGAGCACCCTAGATCAGCAGGAGCCAGATGCTGGCTGGCAGAGACCCACGTGGCCAAAGCCGAGAAGGTCTCAGCCAGCACTGCCACAGCTGGAAGACATGCTGGACGACGCGCCTGCCTTCGATACTTCAGGAATGGCTGAGGGTGTCATGGATCATAGGGTCAGAGGCCGCCAAGCCACACGTGTTTTCCCGGAAGCTTGTGCGCAGCCGCTCTTGACGGTCGTGTTCTTGAAGCCTCCGAGGGCGACGGCCTGCTGCCGGATGTCGCTGATTGCAACTTGAGCAGGCCTAGCCGCCAGCATGCACAAGATGCACAAGCCTTCCACCGTCCCCGCGGCCTTCGAGGCTTCTGTACCGGGAGCCGTGACGACTGCTTCGCAGCGTGTCTGCTCGACAGAGCATAGTCCAGACCAAGCAGATCGAGCGAAGTGCGCCGCATTACAGTAGGTGGCATGTCGGAGCAGTGTCAGGTGTAGTCAAGATAAAGGCCGTCGCTCCTCTTTGTCTGTCCCTAGCGGCCAAGTGACGCAAAGCCATGCAAAGTCCCAGTGCCCCTAGGTGCTGTGATCAAGAGTGGGTAAGCAGCGTTTCAACAAGTGTGTTGAGCAAATGGACCGAGCTTCGTCAGCATGCTTTCGACAGAAAGGTCTCACAAAGACCGTAGTCTACGAGCTCACAGACTGCGCCATTGCATGTAGCATGATCTCATCGAAGATTTCAGTCTGAGTCGGCCCCGCCGCATCAGTTGAGATGACAGATTCTGTGGCAAACAGCATCAGTCGGACAATAGTAGATGCAGTAGATGCATGAATACCTTGCAAGACATTTCTGTGCTTGTCGCAAAAGCCTGCTCGATTGCGATTGTCAGTCCAAATCCAGGAATCCAATTCCAGATTTGCAGGCCCCGTTCGTTGAAGGTCGCTGGGTGCTGCAAGTCCCTGCGGCTGACGGAATGCAGCATGCATCAGCCTCTGTTTTTCTTGCAGTGTGCACGGCGATGTACCTCGCCAAGCGAAAGCGACAAACTTGTGCAAGCGGAGGTGTCGGCGCTTGAATGGGTCATTCTCAATCCTACATGAGTCTTTCGTCGTCAGCAAGGATTACAGTTAAACAAGGTCACGCCAAGATAAGATAAGGAGCATTCCCCACAGCCGCAGGCTGCGCTTGCGTTGCAAGCGTCACGAACGTGGCCGTATGTGGCCATTGTGTCGCCCTGCATCTCCCTGGTCACAGTGTCGTGCCTGGCACATGCCTGTCCCTTTGCACCCCGCTGACGAACCACAAGACTGCAAACGGGCAGTGACTTAGTGAAGCAAGTCGGATGGCTGCGACAGTCTTGAACCTCGGCGTCTCGCGGCGAAACAGGGTGCCCAAGAAGCTGAGACGAAAGTTGGGGAACGTCAGGCCACTGAGAGAATGCATGTGCAGTCGCTGAGGTTTGCATGCGAACTTCGTCTTGGGCTCCATTGAGTTCGGGAGTTGTCCGAATCATTCCTGGCCTGAAAAACCACGGCGTGTTTTGCGGGTGACGAAAAGCTGTGCAGACAAGGCAAGCTGTGCCACGTTTCCTGACCCTAGCCGCAGCTAGACAGCATCTTCGACATGACCTGAGTGCATCATGTGTTTGCCGGTGTGCGAGAGAAGCTGTGAGAAGGAGGCGATGCAGGTATGTTAGGGGAAACGATTGCCCCGAGCACACAAGGCACCGTTGACTTGGATGTTTTGAGCATTGTGAAGTAGACCCACCCTGCATGCTCAACAAGCTGCCATGCTGCGCCATGTCCGTGGCATGCAGCCCTGCCTTCCTAACGGCTGCACACTGTTGTTGCAGGATTTGTCGCTGAAAGCAACTAACGGATCGCTGTTGTCATGCACCTTGGGTAAGAGGAAGATCTTACCCCCTAGAGTCTAGTATGGCGTCGGGCAAAGTCTTTAAGACCTCAGTCTCTTCTGAAGCCTGGACAAGGTGTGAGAGCCTTGCAGGAGCATCTGCCGCTATGACTCAACTTCGCAAAGACGCTGTGGAAGAACTTGGTAATGACACCCCACTTGTAGGTAAAGACGAGACTACTTCTGCGCCGATGCACCCGGTCTCAGACTTTCCACACTTCCACCGTTGCACAGCGACCGTCTTTTTTACAGAATCTGCCAGCACGTCTAACCGGAAAATGGTTCAATGAGATGCCCGGATGCCCTTTCTAGGCCTGCACTAGACACATTGGAGTCAGGAGCCAGCTTTCGGGCTGACTGCGGGCGATGATGTGTATATACTTCGGCTGACAGTTGTTCTTGCTGCGTTTTAGGACGGATCCGGCCGTAGGAAGGTCTCCACGACATCTTTTGCATCGCCCTGCCGGCCAAACTTCAAGCACAGCTCCGCCATGGGAGGTGGGGGTTCTTGGCCCTCGAAGGCACCAGTACCCATAGGCCCTAAAGTAGTTCCTTTTTGGGGTTCATATTTAGAACTCTATAAGGTAATCCCAAAAAGGAACTACTATGGGGCCTATCGGTAGAGTCGAGCAGCTTCGGGAGTCCTGGAGGGAAGGTGCTTGCGTGCCTAAGTGGCCATCGTGGCTTCGTTCCTTCGATTCCCGCAGCTTGGCTTTGAACGACTCGCCAGTTCCCTTCAACGCGAGCCGAAGAGTTGGGCTACCGATGTCTCAATGTGGCTGAAATTCTGCGGCCATTGCTGCCCGGCTTTGTGCTTGCGGTATTCGGTCGTGCAGAAAGCGATGAGGGCTAGGAGAGCAGCTTATTTGGGACGAGTCGAGGTGAAGCATACTACTCAGCACAGGGCATCTTCCGCTGTGAAATGCAACGTTGCCTCTACGACTCGGTTTGAACGCTGAGGGCTTTCTTAATCAGCCTTTAAGTTGCTTGCAGCCGTCGCGCGCCTCGATGCAAGCCAGGGGCACTTACCCCAGCAGTCCGGGTCCGCTTCGTCGAAAATTCCCAGGAATGTGGGGCAAGGCGCAGCTCGTGCGGCTGTGCAGTCGATCAGCAGTTGAGTTGAATGTGAGTCATAATGTGAAGACTGTGTGCTGCTGCGACTCGCCCTAATGACCCTAAAGTCCCAGGGCTTTGCCACCTCCCCTGCCCTGCATGGAAAAGTCGAGCCCTGGCTGCCAATCCTCGCCGGCCCCTCAGAAGCAGCCTTTCCCTAAACGGACTTGTTTGTCCGTAAGCAGAGCTTGTTGCCAAGCGCAAAGGCGTGCAAAGGCATTGAAACAATATGGCCTTGCTGCAAGCCGTTTGGGGGTGGTCCTTCCTTGCTGAGAGAGGGATTGTTGCCAGACCTACCTTGAGCAAAGAGCCTCATTTGGGATGGCCAAGCCGTCTGCCGTCCGAGTACTTCTCCGACGTGGCAAGGGGGTGGATCCGGAAGATGGCACCCGATCGCAGGTTGCTGATCTGTCCCGTTCTGCCTTCAAGCGGATGGCAGGGCCGGGTGTCACTGAAAGTTTAGAGTGGCACCTCCAGCTCTCGTATGCATTTCTGCTCTCAGGCTGCGCGGCCTGCTGAGGTCCAGCACCTGCGCACACTGAAGTATGGCAAGCCATGAAATTCAGTATTTTGCACCGGCCCTCACAAATCAGTTTGCGCTCTCTACCATGCCTGGTTCACGATGCGGCGATGACCGTTTGATTTGGACGTCCGGGACCAGTCGGGGCCTCAGCCAACCTTTCATGAACGTTCCTGTGTCGATGAGCGCCTTCGCAACTTAACGACAAAAGTCCGGAAAAGGGGGCCCTAACTTCTGAACCCCCAAATCCTGCGTACGAGGTCGATAGGTGGCCGCGCGGACACACCGCTCTGCTGGTCGGATGCTCGAGGTGAGACTGCCCAGTCATGTTTCCAAGATGTCCATCCACTCTTGCTGTGATTTTTTTTGTGAGCTGGCAAGTGAAGGTGCAGGCACGGCACGGCACGGCACGGCACGGCACGGCACGGCACGGCACGGGAGAGCGTGTACACAGACGTGAGCATGCCCATGTCTTCGTTACCTGCCCTGGCCAAGGCACAAGATGGCTTTTTCATCACAGAAATGTACAATCTATTCTGTGGACGACCATGAAGATCTTCCCGTCAGAAATTGGCAGATCTCACTAGTGGCCTGCCAAATCCGCATCTCAGCCGCAGTGGGCCCTCAACCCGAAACCCTAAGACGCTCTCGGCTTCTTCCGCCGAGGCTCTGGAAGACCGGAAGAGGCTGGAGCCGGAGAGCAGGAGTGGCAGCAGTCGGAGGGTTGCTGGCTCTCCGGATGACTCCGATCGGGTCACTTTTGCATCCCACTTCTCACCTCCCTGCGAACTTCGCGCAGTCGCGCCAGCAAGTTGTTTAACTTGACGAGCCTCGGCACTGCCCTGCGGGTAACAGGATCTTTTGCAGTCCTGAAGCCCTATAAACCACAAGCCCAACTGTGTCAGTTGTCGTGACGGGGCAAACAGCTTGGAACTCGCACATCGCCGGGACGTGCTGTTGATGTGGCTCGAGTCACGTTCTGACGAAGAGCAGGGACATGAATCCGCTTCCAGCTCCTAAGCCTCAGCCTTGCTTCAACCCCAAGAGTACCGACCCCAAGCACGAACCGAGTTGCGAGAGCGCGAAGCGAGCTCCTCAGCTGAGGTGCCGGGATAGATCGTCTCGGTTCATTACTTGTGACTAACGGTGATTGAAGCTCGCGGGGGCCCTAAACCCCAAACCCTTTCATGGGAATAGAGTTTAGGGTTTCTGGGTCTGTTGCTGCAGGGCTTCGCAAGGCAGCGTCCACAAGGTCAGGGTGAAAAGGTCTACATAGTCAGAGTCAAACACGAAATCCTGTGTTAACAAGGGTTGAAGCTTAGGGAACCGTATCTGACAGTCGAAAGTCCCCAGACCCTGAAGCCGGAAACCCTGTTCTTTTGCATGGCTTTCTACCGTGCCTGGCCATGCGTTCATGGCTACTGCTGGCGGTCTTCCGCGAGGCTGCTGCTCGTGAGTTAGCCAGCGTACATAGACAGATAGATTGATGATAGGTGGATGGATGGATGGATAAAGGGATGTGCTTGAAAACGAGAGATGGTGCATTGTAATGTGTTGCAGTGTGTGCTCATGTATGCCTGTCTGCATGTCGGACCGTCTGTCCGTCTGCCTGGCTCTCTGTTTGTCTGCCCGTACACATGTATGCATGATGCATATCATTCACACTTTGTCGGCTTCGACATCCACAACTCTTGCGGAGGGACTTGCTGTTCACGGGCCAGGCAGTCAGCGATGACGCAGCAGCCACTGGGGCGGCCTCATACTGGCGGGGCGGCCGGGTGCAGGCAGCAGAGGAGCCCAACTCCCCGGCACCGATCATTGAAATCGAAACCTGGCGGAAATGCGAGTGAAGTCACAATCCGATATGTCGCGGCAGCAATAGCAAGATGTAGGACTTGCCCGGAGCCTTCCCTGTCCTGTGCGAGCGTGATAGTCGAAAATAGAGCCTTATATTCAGGTCCTCCGGTATCCTTATAAAAATCGAGGACTCCGAAACAAGGTGTTCCAATTTTGCCGAAATCCCCGAATCGGTGGTGCTGTCACGGTACCGGATCTTTGCGAGAGGCGGAGCAGTGCAGGCAGAGCTTGTCAATGCTTGTCAGGGACCGCATGATTCGATGCACATCATGGCTTTGCTGAGGAAGATGGTCAATTGCAAATAGACTATCAAGGTGATGCTCCTGCTCAAGAGTGTTTGGAGTACTACCTTGACAAGCTGAAGGTCGAGGAGCTGCAGAACCAGGTTCTGCACGAGAAGCTGGCGACATCCACCCGCCAAAGAAGCGGATCGATTCGTCCTCGTGGAGTTCTCGTCTTCCTTCTGATGGAGAATGCGGATAAGGTGTTGCACAAGGACCTCGCCCTGTCCCTGAGATGCTTGGCGCGCTTCTTCTGGCGCTATCCGGTTGTCATCTTCCACACCAACAGCACGACGGCCTCTGAATTGGACTGGATGCGCTCCGCGGCTATTGTTCGTTAACTTACCACGAAGTACCAGACAGTAGGATCTATAGACGAGCGTGCAAAATATGCTTTCTGATGCATAGTCAGACCCATTTAGCCAGAGCCGAGGCTCCGTCATTCCAGGTCACTTGCGCGTGGACTTTGAAGAGGTGTCTCTTGGTTTTCCTGCGTCGCTCGCTGACTTTCCGGGCGGGCCTTGCACTCGGAGCTCACGGAGAGGATGCGCCGCCAGGAAAGGCTTTAGCCAGCTGCAAGAGTTAGTCAGCTGTTGAAGGAGTGAAGAGACAAAGGCCCGACGCTTTTCTACGCCCGCCGTCCTGCATGCTTGACGGGCAGCACCAGTCGGGGCCCTGTCCTAGCTGTTTAGGGTTTAATAGGGTTTGGGGGACTTCTTTGTGCAAAGGTGGGGCCTACAGCGCAGCTGTGGCTGCCGCTGCCCAGCTTGGCGACCGCAGTGCTGGCCGCCACTGCCGGCACGCTTCGTGCAGCGAGCAGATTTGCAAGCTGTTTCTGTCCAGAGTCGTGAGCAGGCACAGGTCTGTTCGAACATCGTGTGCTTGGCTTGAAGGAGCGCGTTACAGACGGATGATCTATATGTATGTCTTCAGACCAGCAGCCGCACATGCTGCGGCATCAGCCACTCTCAATAATTACATGGTAGGCTTACCTTTTCGAGGTTAGCAGCACGTCAGCCGCTTCTTGCCATGGATCTGGCAAGCTGTGCTCAGTAGCGACAGCAATGGTTCGCCCACTTCTGCATGCATGGGCATCCGCGGTGTCCTTCACCAGCGCACTCGCATCTGACAGCGAGGCAGGACCAAGAAACGGCCTGGATTTGCCAGACTCGCCACCACGCACAGCTTCTGTGCTCCATTGTTCTCTGCAGGGACGACGGGTGCATTCGGGTACTAGTCGTAGCGAAGCCTTTAAAACTGCTTAAGCTTCACAGTTCGTTTTCTAGTTGCCCCGGGAGTATGCGCAGAACTCTGGAAAGCAAGTTCGTCGAATGCGACAACCCGCTAGAAGACTTTAGCCGCAGTTTGGTAAGTAGACTCTGGCCGAAGGGACATTCGCCTCAGAAGCGTCGTGTGGAATTCTCCGAGTTCCGATAGCCAAAACCCAAACACCCCTAAACCTTGCAAGACGAGACGTGAGCGCCGAAGCCCCACAAAGAACATGCGTGTTTCTTGGGTCACCTCGCGTCAGGTGCTGGCTCATTACGGCAGTTTCGAGGCTCCTGTGCTGACAGCAGCTTGGTGAATCCGACGCGGAGCGAAGCGCAGGGCATAGGCCTTTTGGAGATTCTAAGCCTAGCAGTCGTAGTGGCCTTCATATTGTCCCAAAAACAACTTGAATCTCTAAGGAGACGAGCTTTGAAGAAGTCCAGAAGCATTTGCTGAAGGGTAGACCCTTTGTCGTTACTGATGGAGCTCGCGGTTTGCCCATGGCTGTTCCTCGGCAAGGTCTTTTTGTGATGCTTTCCGATGCCTAAGTTCCTTTGCTTTTTTGCTTTTGCATCCGAGAGGAATGGGACTGCGAGTTCGTGCGGAAGGAGTTCCCCGACTCCAGGATCCGCCACGAGGGTGGGTCCAGCGATGCCTGGCTTGCAAAAGCTGCTGCAAGACGTGCCTTTTTCTGTGTCGTGCCAGTCTTGCGAGCCTGCTTATGGGTTTAGGGTTTAGGGTTTAGGGTTTAACTCGTTGCCACGAGGAAACGAATGGTGTACGCATGAGCAGCGACTGGCCAGCGATGGCCAAAGCATATCCTGATGCTGGGCGGTATCCAGATGGAGCCCCAAAGACGCGGCCCTTTTACTGGGACATCGCCAAAGCCTATCAGGCAGAACGTGAGCGAAAGTGGGGCAAAGATCCCAAGAAGGTGGTCAAGAAGATCTTGGAGACGAGTCAGGTTCCCTACTGGCTTCCTCCACAGAGCTCCAAGGACACCCTGCTATGTCCATTAGTTTAGGGTTTAGGGTTTAAGGTTGAGGGTCAATAATCATGCTTACGCGGCCACCCCTGGCCCCTCCAAGCGTTCCTCATTCCATTGGCTTAGCATTTGTCAGGACATGGGCCACAGCTCAGAGATGTGGTTCCATCCCAAAGGTGCTGGGGCACGGGCGCACATGGCCCCTTAGCTGCCATTGCTAGGGTCTTCCTGGAACCACCGCGCTTGAAGCAAGCTGTCTTCCTAGGATCCGCACTGTTCCACGACGGTCTCCTTCTGCTTCTCCGGCGAGCGTAAGTGGCGCATGATGGCGGCTCCTCTCTCATAGAAGTCTGAGGCCATGTCCTACGACCTGTGCTTAGTGCTTACTGTCCTTGATCCTTTGAGGTGCCACCAGCTACGCCCCATCCCGAAGGCTACTTTGACGGGGAGATCTATGGTACACGGAACCCTGAGAGACGTGGAGAGTGGCAGCCAACCTTTGAACTCCTGGCTCCCAATGGCTCAGCAGTCGTCGTCTACCCCGGAATGGTTCACGAGACCGTCTCTACAGGAGAGGACTGTTCATCTTCTGTCTCCCAGACCTTTTCGGTGCCAACTCCGGCAGCCTACTACCGAGCCTTTTGGCCCCGCTTCGCCCTGATCGGCGAGGACGTGGCTGGCTGCGGACATGTCGTGGAGAGTCTCGTTACGCGGTTCTTGTTAAACACTTGTTAAATGGTCGGAGCTGAGTCTACTGTAGGCTAGTATGATAGGCGGGAGGCAAAAACTGATGGGCGTTTTTGCTCCAAGCATTATGATTAGTAGCGCCGATCAAAAACTCCTTGCCACACAAGCCTACACAACCCTACGGAACCCTTTCTAAAACCCTTTAAAAGCCCAATGAAAACCAACACAGGTCACGCTGGGAAGCGGCGCCAAAGTCCGCCCTGCTCCTGAGCCAGCGGCGCGAAAGGCAGCCACAAAGTTTAATGACAAGGTGGGAGTGTGCCTTTATAGGATTTATAATATGTATACATATATATATATATATGCATACATACATTATGAGGATTTTGTGGGTGTTGCTCACACTCTAAGAAAAGGGGGGGGCTTGAGATCGTGATTATGCGATTAGTCTGATGTCCCAGAAAACTCGAAGGTTGACAAGAACATGGATGGTCGAATCTCAGAGGAGGAGCTCCAGAACGGCCAGCGGAAGGGGGGAAAGCCCGAACTTGCTGAGCTCATCAGCTTTCATGACACCAATGGTGATGGGAGCATCTCCTCAGAGGAGCTTACTGAAAGCTATGTTATGTTTGCGACTGCAAACTTCAAGGCATCAAAGCAGGGCCGCAGGAATGTGGACCTCTGACGCATGAAAGTGCGAGAGAGTTCCGGAGCAATCTAGAATCCAGAGACCTCGCCCGGCAAAGTGCTGCGTGATGGAAAATGATGGAAAGTCCGCAGGTTGTGACTGTCTGAAGCTGTGTTTCGAAGGGAGGTTAGTTCAACCATCTTCCTCGAGATTCTAGGGACCAACAGGCGTAACTAGCTCGTATCACGACGTGCCACGTGACGCCGGTGGTTGCGGGAGTCGACTACACTCATGAATGACTCCTTGGGATCACTTTCCGAATTCGGATGTACCTGCAGACTGAGCGGCTCAAATGCTTCCAAGCAGAGGCATCTCCGACGGTGATGCATGCTCTGAGCTGAACGATCGGAAGCATTGCACGACTTGCCTGGCCCCTACTTTGCTGCCTGGTAGGGTTCGCGTGTGCACCAAATATCCCGCACGAATGCAAAGCTGCGTCAGGCTAGTGGGACATGTCCGGTGCCTTCAAGGACTCTTTCACAAAAGAGGACACCAAAGAAGATGTACTCGGCTACGACGACACTGCATTTTACTACTTTGTCGTCAGTGTGCTGACATGTGTTGCTCTGCCTTGGACGATTGCCTTTGTTGACAGTTTTGTTCGTCGCGGGCACGATGCAGACAGCGAATACCCTCGGAAAAGTACCGAGGGCAGTACTCTGCGTTATTGCAGAACGGCGGCAATGGTGGAGAAGGTAGACAAGTCTCGAAGTGACGCCCGAAAGTTCACGCCCACGGCAGCCGTGAGTTCGCTTGTTCAGTTTGTAGTGCTGTCGATTATGTGGGCATGTATCTTTGGAACGATGACGCAGTTGGGTCACGAGAAGGAAATTCAGAAGTTCGACCCTTTTGTCATTCTGGATGTGCCCCCCTCTGCAAGCGGCAGTGCAATCAAGCGAGCATATCGCAAGTTTTCTCTCATCTATCATCCGGACAAGAATCCGGACGACCCCCTCGCTGCATCTCGTTTCATTCAGATTACTAAAGCCTACCAAGCTTTGACTGACGACATCGCAAAGCGGAACTGGGAGAAATACGGAAATCCGGACGGGCCCCAGACGACGAAGGTTGGCATTGGCCTACCCCGATTCCTCCTAGAGAAGGAGAACCATTTGATGATTTTGTGCAGCTTCTTCTTTGTGATCGTTTTCTTGGTGCCCATCACATTCATTTGCTATTATCAGAATGCCAAAAACTTTGCCGCGAATGGCGCCGCCTGGCCTTTGATTGGACTTTGCAAGCTAGGTGTAGAGCTTTCGGAGGCAGTAGCTGCGCCACTCGCCACCCGAAGCCCTACACTCTAAAGCCCAGATCCATGCCCATGGGCAGGCTATGATAGAAACGCTTCAATTCCTGGGGTGCCTCGGCTGGCTCTGTGAGTTCCGTTCCCCCTGCAGTCGTTTTGGGTTTAGAGTTTCTGGTTGCCTTCACTTTCGTCCGTCTCTCCTTTCCAAAGGTATTACATTGCAGAATCTGCACGTGCGAAGCATGGCCCGGAGCTGTTGGCTGCATGTGCGGAAAGCCGCCTCATGGGCACTAGACCTACAGACAATGCCGATATTAAGAAACTTGGAGGAGCGCTAGTGACAGGGTTTAGGGCTTAGGGTTTAGGGTTTCGGGTGGTTTAGGGTTTAGGCTCCTATTGCAGGATTTGACTGGGCTTGGTTCTGTCAGAACTCGGGCCCCTAACCCCTCTCGAGCCCACAGGACACGTGATCGAGCACAAGAAGCGTGTCTTCACCTTCCCAGCTGTGATGAAAAACCAGTATCTCATTTGGGCTCACATGCAGAGGCGTCACTCTCTGATGACGGCTCCTCTTCGGAAAGACCTGGATGAATTGCTCGGGCATTCCATGAAGGTCACACAAGCCATGATCGAGGTGGCCTGCATGAGAGAGTGGTTCGGCACTGCTCAAGGCATGATTGAGTTCAGGCGCTGCTTGGTGCAAGGTCTTGACATTAAGAGTTCACAGCTGCTGCAGATACCACATTTCAGCGATAAGGAGGTCGACCTCTGTCAAAAAGCGTCCCCTCCAGTCACAACTCTATCAGAGTTTCTGGCTTTGGAGCCGGACGAGCGCAAGAAACTCAGTCAACTTGGTGACACGGAGCTCTTAGATGTGGAGGCGTTCTGTGGACACATCGGGAAGACCTTGATAAAAGCGCACATAGGTGTTGAAGATGAATCAGAGATCATCGTGGGGGACGTCGCCACCGTGAAGGTGCAGATGTGTCGCAAGCATCTTGCAAGAGATGAGGCTTTGGGACCGGTCTCCGCGCCTTTGTTTCCCGGAGCCAAGTTTGAGGAGTGGTGGCTCTTTTTGGTCGACTCCGGCGCAAAGGCTGGGTTCTTGTTGAGGAACTCAATTATTTACGATCTCATTGCCTACCCGAGAGCCCAATAATGGCACCCCCTCACACATGTTGTTCAGGGATTAAGCCCAACACGCACCCTGAAAGTCCCCAATCCAAAAACCCGAAAGCCCTGAACCCCAAGCCTCGCCTGGATTGTCCGAGTGTGAGCGCCGAAACCCTAAAACCAAAAACCCGAAAGCTTTAAAAGAACATCTTCGCCCGGAGTGTCCGAGTCGCGAGAGTCCGAACCCTGTGAGCGCCGACACCAGGAACCCAGAGACTCCAACCTCCCGGACTCTAATATCATGTAAGGTACATCCTTTAAACTATATAGTAGGAACTCTAGTATCATTGAAGCTACATCCCTTCAAGTTGTAGTAGGAACTCTAAGATCATTGAAGGTATATCCCTTAAAGTTGTAGTAGGGGCTAGAATATCATTGAAGGTATATCACTTAAAGTTGTAGTAGGAACTCTAATGATTCCTTAGTTGGGAGGCTTTAGGATCTCTGCAAACCCCGGAGGAGAGGATCGTCCACTTCGAGCGAGTGCTCGATCTCGAGCGCTGCCTGGAAGAGAAGCTTGGTTTGGGGATGTTTAGGGTTTAGAGGCCCTAAACCCTAAACCTTCTAGAATAGGGCTTAGAGCCGAGGAAGTAGCCGTTGGCCCCTTTTGGTTCTAGGGTGTAGAATCTTAGAATTTCATAGGGTTTTGTGACTCTTAGAGATCCTCGACACTTTGGTGGTGTGGGCTTCCTAGCACCTCAAGTTGGAGCCGTTTTCTCCTTGGTAGCCGGGACCGGTTTAGGGCAATACACATAACCCCTAGGATGAGGCTTAACTTGTTGGGTTTTTCTAGGAAACTAAACTGACACCTTAAACCCTGCTTGCCTAAACCGCTAAACGCAAGACCCGTAAACCCTAAACCCTGCCCCAAACCCTTGATCCTTGAATCCCTGAGGCCTTAACCCTAAATCCCAAAACAAGTCAGGAAGCTTCGCTTCCAAGTGACGAAGGCGGGGGAGAACAAGCTTGTCTTGTATGCCATGTGCCCCTTGGCAGAAGCTTGTTTATGCATAGTGCTATTACTGACGCCACCACCAGCACCACCAATACCTTCACTGCCACTACCACTACCAATGCGACGACGACGACTACAAATTTTGTTTGCTTAATTTTAGCAGTTTTTAGTGCTCATCATTAGCGCATTCGTGCACGCTACGGTTAATTTTGTTTATTCCTCCTAGTACTAGCATCATCGTTCGCACTAAGTCATTGGGAATTGCTCTCTTAGCCGATTTTGTCTGGGGTTTCCTGATACCAGAACTCACAAACATAGAGCCGAGGTGACGCGTATGCTGGCATGGATCACCGGATTGAGCTCACCTTCACAGCCTATGCAGAGGACGAGATGATGCGGAAGATGCCCGTGCATCAGGCGCGTCGATCATGCTCGTCCAGAATGAAAAAACGAATTGCGTTCGACTCTCTTCACAGCACTTCCCTGTTGTGCTGATTCTAGCTACCACTGGCATTGCTAGTGGCCTTGTTGCTGTTATCACCACCAACAAGTATTCCCTGAACCCCAATGCCTTAAACCTTAAACTTAAACCCAATCTCTCTTCTACATGGCTTGTGATGGCGAGAGCAGGAAGACGAAGATTTGGATCTTCAGCCTACTCTCTTTCAGCAGTGGATGGGCGACTTCAAGGGTGACGAGAGCAGCTTGTCAAAGCTTTGGCCCAGCCAACCCTGGCTCAACTTGTTCGATAGTTGCGGTTTCGGGTTTGGGGTCTTGAGGGTCCAGCCTGTCAGAGACGGTTCTGTGTATGTCGATGGCTTGTACTGTTCTACTTCCAGCAGACTGAGCCCATGTCAGCGAAAGATGGTGTTCAGGGCAAAGTGCAAAGTTGTAAGGCGGCTTCACACTTTTGCGGATATTCCTGAGGTGAAGAGGAGGAGGATGGGGAAAGGGAACGTAGAAGATTCCGTGGTCGTGCTGGCCACAGATCAAAGGCCGCTTGGCTGAATGACTGAACAAAACGTACGTGCGCATACCGGCATGTCTGTATGCATGCATTCATGCATGCATGTATGTACTTCCTGTATCTATGTATGCATGCATGCATACATGCATGCATACATGTATGTATGTATGTATGTATGTATGTATGTATGTATGTATGTATGTATGTATGTCTGTGAGTGTGACTTTTTCCGTACTTCGTTCCTGCACGCATGCATGCATACATTTGCCACATGATCATGTTTGTGTGTGCATACATGTTTTTGCAAACATACAGCTTGACAACATGCTGACAACATGTGTGTACAAGCAAAAGAACGAACATACGAACATGCATATATTCGATTATATTCGTACATACATGCATACGTATGTATGTATGTATGTATGTATGTATGTATGTATGTATGTATGTATGTATGTAGGTATGTATGTGCATAAGTTGTTATGCATGCATTCATGCATGCACATAGCAGTGCACTTCTTCCGTCCTGCACTTTTGCTTCCTGCGGCCAGATTCAGGATGCAGGTGAGGGGACTCACGAAGCAGCAAAAAGCACAAAAGCGGTGGAGCAGCTAAGCAGCCTTTAATATGCTGCTGTGTTGCATGTCTTTCTTTTGTAGTTGGATGGTCCTCTGCTGTAACTGGATAAATCATAATGCGCGGGCCAGGGAAGATGACGAGGAGGATGCCGACAACGACTCTGATGCCAGTTCCTCCGGGTCAGAGTGATGGCGCATCAGGTACAGGAAGCGGCATTTCCAGGTCCTTTGGACCACAACTCTTGCTGTTGCTGGCAGCTCCTAGCTGTTAGCAGCCATCTTGCGCCATCCAGTTTCACAACAGGTGCCGGTTTGGGCAAAGGCTCACAAACGCCAGAACCCTAAACCCTAAACCCCAGAACCTTCTATAATCTGCTCCTCTAAGATGTTTGAGCTTTTACCCTGCGCCGGGCGTCGACCTGTGATGTGCCATCTTGGTAGTCATGGTTGGTGGAATCATTATAGCAACTTATAGTCGAAAACAGTAAATTGAAGTAAGTTATAGTGCATGTTAGTGCAAGTCTATCGATCTTGCGCTCCGCAAGTTCCTGTGCCTTGACGGATACGGCTCCTAAACACCACAGCGATGACCAGATCGAGATGTTGGGTCTCCCGAGACAGACCTACCTCAGCAAGGCAAGCAAAAAATGGAACGACCAATCCAGGGTCACAAAGCTTCTCTGTGTCCCTTGAGCCGCCGTTGCAAGTAACATATAAGAATAGTATATAGTCTATAAGAGGGTGCGTAAAAAGCCTGTTGTCACCTACTGCCTGGATTGTTTGAGAATTGTACTCCACGCCTGCAATGACCCAAGAGGATCACTGTCACCGTGGCGGCCCACCTAATCGTGAACAACAAACAAGACATCTTCGACTGTCAGATTAGAGTTGAATGCAGAGCAGCAGAACGGTGTGTCTTCGACTTAGTATTCGATGTGCCTCATGCCGGTCCCCCGGTCTTAAGAGGTCAGCAATCCCGGATGCAAACACAAACGCCACAGCGACAAAAGCATGCGCAAACAGGCACTAAGGCCCATAGTTGAACGCCTGCGCAGGCATGTGCACAAAAAGCAAGCACATAGATACACATGCCACAGCTGCAGACATGGCATGCACTATTCCTTCCTGCTTCGTGACATGACTGCTTGGGCACTTGTCCGAATTCCCAGTGGCTGCCAGGCTGAACTGGATGCATGCCACGCACTTCTTCACCGCCAGCAACACAGCTTTCGTTTCAGTTTTTGCTGGTGCCCACAGATTGGACTTGTGCACATGCTGGGAGGTGGCAGAAGTCTCTGATGTGGTGTGCGATCATATTCAACATCGTGCTTGTGGGTTCTTGCTGCCTTTGCTATTTCCATGATCAAGGTGGGGCTTCAGTGCGGCAGGAGTTGGCCCAGTTAGTACGTTAGTTCCTTGAGACTGCAACCGACTTTGTCAGTTCATGCTTTTGCTTCAGCAATCATCCCCTAAAGATATTACGCCACTAGCAAGCTGACATCAGAGCCCCTTGCGGCTGCTGCTGTACCAGGGTTGCATGCCAAACCAGCCACTGCAAAGCCAGCTCGAACTCAGTTTCTCTTGCAAAGCTCTGTAACACAAGTAGGCCACTCCAAGCCTGCCAGCACAGCAATCAGCATGCTCGAGGGTTCAGGGTTATAGGCTCACTGGTCTTAGGGCAAGTTGCTGGAGACTTAGATCCTTGAATGTAAGGGTTCTTTTTCAGGGATCTGTTGGGGTTTCTTAAAAGGTATCTACGAGGTTCTTATGGGGGTTCCTAAGGGATCTACGCAGGATCCTCTCGGGGCTCTGGGTATAGGGGACGGGGGGGCTGTCTAGGGCCCGCGACGCCATGGCCGGCTACGAGCGGGGGGCTACCTCTCAAGTGGTGCAGAACAGCCTGCAAGCAAGACTGGACCAGAAGGAGATCCCGAAGCTGCTAGGTATTATAAGGGTACTAGAAGGGTACTTACTATGAAGTCCCGAGGTACGGTTGGGTATGATATTTTGATATCATAGAATAGAACGGAATAGACTATTATGATAGAATACACTATAATTCCGGCACTTTTAAATTGGAAGAAGCGCCAAGACAAGCGGGGCATGAGATTGTAATGGAGCTTCATGTAGGCTGCCAAGTCATGATGAGCTTGCTTGTGCCATTACCGTAGTTCCCAGATTTTCTGAGATTCTAAGCAGTTAGCAGCTCAGGTGGATATGCGATTGTGGCGCTGCAAACTTGTCAACTTGGAGCCACTGCACGAAATGCAGCAGGCCACGACCAGAGGACTCGAGACTCTTGGGGATCTCTCTTACGTGCAGTCATGCAGAACCCGAAACCCTAAACTCTAAACTGAGAAGCCCTTAATGGGTGGGAAAAAACTGAGAAGCCCTTAATGGCCATGCTATCCCATGGTCCTCCGCAGGATAGGGAGATGCGGATGCAAGCGCGCGCTGTCCAAGGCCTCGGCCGTGGTGGAGGACCGGTGGCAGTTGCACAGGGACTCCAATACCCCGATAATTAAGCAATATACTCTTAAATTATAGTAGATCCCTAGTATGATTTAGGGTATATTCCTTCATTAAGGGGTATTGGAGTCTCTGGGTTTCATGTGCCAGTTGCCGTAGCTTTGGACTACACGAGACCGACCCTCCCTCGGACTTCTCATGCAGGCTACTTCGAGCGCACCACCACCGAACAGAGGGGCAGCGAGGATCTGAGAAAGGTGAAAGGTGGACTTGACATCTACGGTCGGACTCGAACGGACTCGCCCAAGCTCTCGCCGTCAACGCCGCCCAGTGCCGGCCCGGCGGAGGGGCCAAGAAACAGCCTAGTAGCTGAGCTTGCTTGAGCGTTTTTGGGGTAGGGCTTGATTAGGGACTCTGGGGTTGTAAAGTTACGAAAGCTCGACCCGGTTCCATTGTTGTAGTTTCTTGACATAGTACCTGAACACAATGCTTTCTCAGTGCCCTAAGCAACCACCCAGACCTACACTCGAAACCTATACCCAAACCCCAAATCCCATGCTAAGTGACATCCCAGGCTCCAGTGGGAACTTTGCCCTCAAAGACGGATCGACAAAAGGCTGCCCTGGAAAGGCTGCGCGCGCCAAAGAAGAAGCGACGCTTGACCCAACGAGCTTAATCTTTAGTGACTTTAGTGTTTATAGGGTTTGTGGCCCCTGTAAACCCTAAACCCTTGTTGGACTTGGAGGCTGGCCCTGCCAGGAAGGCAGCTTATGCCTAATCGTTATTGGATTGGCAGGCCAGCAAGCAAAAGGGACAAAAGACCATTATATCCTCAGCATGACATATATTGCATGGAAAAAACCATGTTGACGCGACCACACAATCCCTCCGTGTGTTTTCAGGTAGCTGTTGGGGCCCAACGTGCTAGAACGCCAGGCTCGACCCCGAAACTAGACGTATTGGCGTTGGCTTTCAAACAGGAACCCAGAGGCACTCAGGGGACACGACGCGTAGATCTACCCTAACTACCCTGTGCTGGGCCTCTGCATACGGTTGTACTGAGCGCAGATGTTCAGACTGCGCGGGATACCCTCTTCTTTCTGATTTGATGCGTTTCATCCGCATTCAAACGTGGGTTTCACGTCCGAAAGATTAAGCACAAAGATCCTCGCCCGGCATGAACGACAGTGAGCACCGAAACCCGAAACTAGTGGAGGCCCGGCGGTATGCAAGATCGTCGCAAGCCAATGACATCGACAAAGCTTACTGTAGTGTATATACAGTAAGGGACATCATACGGCAAGTCCGAGTGTGAGAGCGTAAGCCCGTAACTCTGGTAATCAGTTTGGAATTTGGGCGAAGCCCCACCCAGAGGTAGATACACATGGGTTGTGAAACACGCTTGCGCTAGTCTTCCATGAGGAGATGATTTGTCTCCGCCACGAACTCGCGTGTATAGAGCACCTTGGCTTGATTTGTCGGCACCCGCATGAGATCGGCAGCACGTCCGCGGGTGAGGAAAAGTCTTCCAGAAGTCGAAGTATTGAGAGACGGCGGGAATCAAGGACCTGGCGAGGGAATTAGGCATCCCATGGCAGAAGGTCAAGCTACATGTGTTTTGAGGCTGAGAATGCTCGATAGACCCACCACGAAAGACCGCGTGACTTTGAGAAAAAGGGCCCGAAGACGAACATGTGCAGCTCTGCAGGACATGAGCAAGAGTTGCTTGCTCGTTTGCCTGGCCATAAATTGGAAGCTCTTCCTCTTCTGATCAACTTGGCTTCTGTTTTGTTGTGCTGATGTTGTTGCTGTTGCAGTTTCTGCTGTTGTGGTTATGTTTTATTGTTCTTGGTGCTGTTATTCTTAGTGTTCATGTTCTTCTGCTGCTCATTACTGTTATTATTGTGTTGCCTTTGCTGTTGCTGCTGCTGCTGCTGCTGTCATTTTTCGTGGTTGTGGTGATGGTGCTGGTGACGGTCTCTTATTTGTTTATTCGAAGCTCCCAGCCATAGTCTCCTCAGGCTGGAATGTTCCGAACAAGGACGTTTCAAGATGGCGGTCATCGGCCGAGAGACTGGTCAGGAGCGATTGACAAGTACTGTGCACTGCCCTACTGCCGAGGCTATCATTATTTCTTGCGACTTGATATTGCCTTGACCCCAGCCTCTACAGCAGGGCAGAAAGCAGGTGGAGGACACTGGCAGCTTTGGGCATGTGTATGTTCTGTACTATTAAGGACCTTTTCTTCGTGGAGGCGCCTGTGCTAGACCCGTTCCAGCACATGGCAGCAGCTTAGCGAGACTTTTGTAACTACATGGCGCGTTTTGACAACCAGCTTTGGCCAGCCCTCTGGCCACCATTGCATTGAGCCCAGGACCATGGTTGCGTTATGGACCGAATCTCAGCTTCAGGGCCTGTGGCGCAGACGCCTTCTCTCAACGAGCGTTTGTAAGTGGTCTTAGCGTGTTGACGAAACTTGGCGAGCCTGCAACCCAGTTCCCTAAACAAAGCCTGGGCTGCCTGGGCTCAATGTGACTGTCGATTGAGTCTGAAATTGAGTCTAGAAGTGTTGCGTTGCCGCTCCTGCTCGACATGAAGCTCCTCGGCTTCGTAGCTACCGTGAGCCGGCTTAGTCTGGTGCGTGCAGAAAGCTGCGAGATGCCGAGTGCAACCAGCTTGCTGCACTTGATGCGCCAAGAAGGCCAAGAAGGCGAACACGTAGAGAAGTATGAGCAATCCGGTGCCGGGCAGCTCGATCTCAAGAACATCCTCAATATCATGGAGCACGACCTGGTTCACACCAAACCAGTTGTACAAAAGCGGTGATGGTTGCTGATCAGCAAGGATTAGAATCAGCCCGCTTTGACTTTGAGCAGACTTGCCTAAGGGGCCTAAGAGCTGCGACAGGAATTGCTGGACATGAGCAACTCTGGCCTTTCACTACATCGACGCCATCACGGCTCCTTCGCTCCAGTTCGCGGATCTGGACTTTGTTGGCGTTAAGGGTTTGGGGTTTCGGGTTTAGGGGTTAAGGGTGGCAACGGGATCGAAATCGCTCGGCGTTGGCTGAACGTGCCATCGACCTTCGATCCAACAGGTTGGATTGTAGCAGCTTCTACTTTCGTTGAACCGAAGTGCCCGGAGCTGAAAGCGGCGACATATCTGTCCGACGACGAGTATGAAGAGCAAATTCCATCAAGTGCATGGCATACCGCCACGCACCCATACTGCCTTCCGGGTGCGACATTTTCATGGATCATTCGGTCGGACGAGCCAGGTCTTTGCCACCACCGGGACAGCTGGGCCGAGTAGAGCATGTAGGCAGACGCTGTAGAAGCAACCGAATCCAGTGGACGCGCAAAGACACTGGATCGAGCACAGGGCCTTCCTCTGGATGTCTCATCCGGACAGAGGCAAACTTGCCGGTACGTAAATATTGCCAAATGAATATAACTACATAATGGATAAACGTATGTATGTAACTGTATGTATGTATGTATGTATGTATGTATGTATGTATGTATGTATGTATGTTTGTATGTTTGTATGTACATGTGGCAACAAGCATAGCCTACACTGCAGGTCTATGATCGGCTCTCACGCGAAGCTCCCGGCTGCTTTGATGACTTCAACCGTCGCTGTCAGGAGCCTGCGACTGAGAAATGTGTAGATTATGTAGGGGCCTTCAGAATTGGAGTAGTGTTCGATAAGGGATTTAATCAGGGGTAGCCAGGTGTTGTTGTTTGTCCGCACTCCTGCTTAATGGACTCAGACTAAGAGGAAATTGTTGCTAATTACTCCAACCCCTACAACATGACATCAAAGCGGGCGGGGCACAAAGCAATGCCTGACACGCACATACAGCATTCTGACAGGGTGCATATGGCACCTAGATAGGCAAGTAAGTAGAGAGCTAGATAGCTAGCTACTGTAGCTAGCTGGCAGATAGCCAGGTGGATAGGTAGATTGATACATAGATACATACGTAGATAGTTTTTTCAGATCAATGGATAGATAGATCGATCGATAGACCGAGAGAAAGAGAGAGAGAGAGAGAGAGATTTATATACAGCAGCGTCAGCACAGGGGGGGACTCTGCGAACACGCAAACAGTCCCGGAGCTGGAGGAGGACCAGGTGCCCGGGGGGAGGAACCCCACCCAACCGTACCACGAGGGACAGGGGGATCAAAGGAGGGGGAACAAGCACACTAAAGCAGCGATACGAGCCGAATTCAGGAGGCAAGGCATCGAGAAGCCATCACATTTGTCCTGGAATGAGGCGGCGCATATGGTAGGGATGACTCCCTACGTGGACGACGACCAGGAAGCAACGGCGGCCCCAGGCACCCAATACCAGCCCCGGGGGGCCAGCAGCAGCGCCGACCCGCCACCGGGCAGCAAAGCAGCGACAGAAGCCAAAGCAAGACACGAGAGAGACAGGGCACAGTTCGCTGCAGTGCTCAACTTACACCAGCAGCCCAGACAACCACAGCCGGGCACTGACGCCAGAGCGGGGAGCAGCAACGACCCGCCACCGCAGCAAGCAGCCGCAGCAGCCAAGCCCAAGGGGGACGCCAAGCCAGCCACGGCGGGGGCGACAGGCCCACCCCCAGCGCAGACGACAGCAGAGGGGCAACCACGACAACCAGCTACAGGGCAGCCGCAGCTTGAAGGAGTGGAGGGCATCGCTCCCAGAACGGGGGTTGAAGCTGCAGCGGGGACTAAAGAGGCCACAGCAGCCAAGGCACGACACGAACAAAGCATCAACCGCAGCGACCAGATGCCGCAGCAAAGCAGACCGAGGCGCATACCCCCTAGAGGGGGAGAACAACGAGTGATGAGATCCTTCCCGCTGGACTCTCCAGTGCAGTGGTACACGGGGAGGAGCGTGTACATGGCGTCAATGGGCGGATACCTGCCCCCAGCCCCGCTGCCGCCGGAGCTGCCCATCAGCAGCCTGGCCTTCGCACACTACAGATACTTGGGGCATGGAAGCTGGTGCGTCATGATTCTCTCGCGCACCTCGTTGGCTACACCAAGCTATGAAAAAGTCAAGCTGAGGGGGTTCGCGAGGATCCGGCAGCAGAGCAAATATGGTCACGAGGGGGACGTGCTCTCGATAGGCCTCCAGGCAGAGCTGCACCCACTGAGCGGGGGGACGATGTGGCACATGTTCGTCAGAGCCCAACCGCGACAACGAGAGCCCGGCAGCAGCCATTTCCCTCCCGGCCATTACCGGCTACACTGGCATCCGGGGGGACAGTACTGGAGCTTCAGCGACATGGACCCCGACGACGGGGAGATACTCCAGAGGAGCCGCAAGCAGCAGCTTCAGATGCCGGACATGTCGGCGCACATGCAGGAGCATGAGCTCGCCCAACTCCAGCTAGACGAGGAAACGACCGCCACCATACGGGGGCTCAGATACCGGCTCCAACTGCACGACGAGGACCCCTTTGCACCACGAGCACACAGAGCGGAAGCCCTGGCCAGAAGCCACGAGCCAGGGGGGGTCCCACTGACCTTCCCGCCAGACGAGGTCTACGGGGACCGCGCACCCCACCCATGGGCCCAACAAGTCCAACAGCCGGGGGAACCAGATCAAGAGACAGACGCTGCCACCAGCTCGTCAGCTTCCACATCTACCTCCAGCTCAACAGCCACAGAGGAGGAGGCAACCGAGCAAGCACAGCCACCGCAACGGCAACCACCAGCAGCCGGAGGGGGACAAGCAGCAGGGCCGATACGAGCACAACGGCCCCACACGAGAGCAGCGGTAGCGACGGGGGACAGCTCCTCCTCAGGCAACTCTATGCGCTATGAGAGCCAGCCGCAAGAAGGGGGGAGACCCGAGCCAGCAGAAGAGGAACCGCAGAGGACGCAGCAGCCCGCAGGTTACTCCTTTATTACTCGCTGGAGGCCAGAGCGGACTTCAGGCCCAGCAGTCACCCTACACAGCAGCAGCCAGCCGCAACACCAAAGAGACCGCCCCCACAACCTCCAAGCGACTCCGAAAGCAGCTGGCCGAGCGAAGACCCACCACAGGAGCACAGCTCCCTTATGCAAACGTGCACGCAAGGGGGCAGACCGGGGCCGACCACCACCACAAGCACCACTACAGACATGCAAGCGCCAACGGCAGAACGAGAGCAGGCAGTGGACTCGGCCGAAGCAGAAACAGTGCCGTGGCTAGCGCCGCCATGTGCGGGGGGACACGGCCCGCAAGCCCCCGCAGCCACAGCCCCAGCAGAATGCAGCAGCACCCTCCCAGAAGGGGACATGCCAGGCACCACAACGGAGGAGGAGATGGCGACCAGGAGGAGAACATGCGGACCGGTCGAGCAAGAGGGGAAGACAAGGCGGAGGGTAGCAGCCCGCCGCAACAGTCCGGGGGGAACAAGCAACCAGCAGCCGGACAACAACATAAGCACGCCGAGCCCTTTGAAGAGAGCGCGGAGCCAAGCATCCCAGCTGCTGCGAAGCCAGACAGAGGAAACCATGGCAGCGTGGGAACAAGCCACAGCACCGACAGACAGAGGGACGCCAGCCCAAGCGGTGCAAGCAACAATCAATGCGGCAGCTGAGCACATACGCGTAGCAGAGCAGCTTGCGAGGAGCATAGAGCTGCAAGGAGTCGCAGCATACTTGGGGGCTGCGACCACACAACTCCAGCCGAATGAACCTGGGGGGCATGTACGACCGCAGCAAGCCCTCCCAAGCCCAAACGCCTTCGAGATAGCAGCCGTCATAGCGGGGGTCATGGCAGACAGAGCAAGTCAAGGAGATGTGCCCGAGGGGACGGTTGAGCTGCTCGAGCTGCAAGAGCTGGTGCAGGCAGGTCAAGCCCTACTCCTGGGGGGACGCCGGTCGCACGACTGGACCCGCACGCACCATGCTACAGACGCGGCGGACGACGCGGAGGCCTTGCTACATGCAACGATCAAAGCAGGGGGCATGGGGGACCTGGCGGAGACTACACTCGGCACCCTTCAGAACTTGCTCAACGCGGCGGCCGACGGGGTCAACGTGCTCGTGGGCAACTACCCGCACAAGGGGGAGGCCGAAGCGGTGCCAGCGCACCCTGCAGACGTACTACAGCTTGCTAGGGGGGCACCAGAAGGCCGACAGAGGAGGGGGACGGAGGCGGATGCAGTGCACGTCTACAAGGCAAAGAAGCTCCTTCGAGAACTGATGCCCTTCCTGTCGGGGGAGGTGCGTGACCGCGTGGACCAAGCACTGCAACACCTGGTGCAATGGACCACGCAACACTGGGGGAGCGACGTCGAGATCGTGGAGGACACAGGACCGACGATGGGGGCGGCCAGTGCCTCAGCGCCTGCTACCACCGCCGCGGGGGCCAGAACCTCGAGACCTACTACGACCGCAGTCGGGGGAACAGCGTGCACTGAGGGGAGTGAGGGAAGTGAGCGCAGAAGCCGCAACCTGGATAGCCCCAGCTCCCTTGACAACGACGACTAGAGGTTGGGGGTCCTTGGGGGGTTTTGGGGGTTCTGCTGTTAATCAGGGGAGCTGGGCCTCCTTGAAGCCCTGAGACTGGAGGCCTGTAACACAGCTAGGGGTAAGCTTGCTGAGAGCCGTCTTGTCACACTCGTGAGTACTAAAGGCCCCGTAAAAGAACTCCATAGCTGACTCTGGGGAAGGGGGATGACGGGGGAGATGTTCACTTGTGACGCAACATACTTTTCTTTCTCAAACCGTCGACCCCCGATGTGTCACCGCACCTTTTGAGAGCACTCGTGACTAGGGGGTATTCTGTTTGTGCATCGGCCTTCTAAGTTGTGCTGTTACCAAGGGAAGAGTGCCACCCACAGAGACCCCAAAACGGGGGACATGGCCCACAAACATTGGGGCTCTGCAACGGTGGTTGTGGTTACAAGCCCCTGATGAGAGCCACAGGGGCGCGGGGACGAGGCCCGCATAGGGGTCGTAGCGTACAGGGATCGAGGGCTTGTCGTACAACCACATGGGGCAGCTTTCGTCTTCTTCTGCCGCGGTCAGTGAAACCCCAATGCCGGCCACTTAATAAACACAAGGGTGGTCGGGCGGGCCAAAGGCCTGAGGGTCTCCCCGCGGGACCCCTACGCCCGGCAGAAAGAAAGAAAGAAAGAGATCTATATATATATATATATATATATGGAAACTTTACTGTAGCTTTTCATTCAAGTGATGCCTGTCAGGTTCTTGGACATGATTGAATACGGTGGCCAACCCGACGGAGACATTCTGCAAGTAGGCCGTGCAGCTACGCAAACCCGTGTCTCCATGTCGTTGCTTATGGCAGGTGCAGTTCACGGTTTTTTTTTTGGCTTGTTGTTTTTTGGGTTTTACATGTCCGCACACCCTGAACTGACAGATCCTTTGTGCACGAGCGAAGTGTTTTCCTTCCCCCAGTTGGGTGTGCCGACGCATCCAACCTGTGACTCACGCTGGTAGGTCTGCTCGTAGATCTTCTGCCGACTACTTCTCGTGAAGTCGGCACAACCCTTGTCCGGCAAAACGGCTGCAACAAAGCAGCCGAAACCCTGAAGCCTAGAAGCCCTGGATCAGACTTTGCGGTGTCAGACTTTGCACAGTGTCTTCAAGACCTTCAACCTTCTGCAGGCTATGGTCCTGCAGCAGCAGGTGGCCAGTCGGTCGCTGAGCCACCTGCTGGTGGTTGTTTTGGTGGTGGTAATGCTTCTTGCTACGGTAGATCTGCTACCGCTACCGCGGCTGCCGCTACTGCTGTTGCTGCTGCTACTGCGACGACGACGACTGCTGCTGCTGCAGCTGCTGCTGCAGCTGCTGCTTCTGCTGCTGTTGCTGCTGCGGCCACCCCACAACAACAACAACTACTACTACTACTACTACTACTATTACTATTACTATTACTCTACCACTACTACTACTACTGCTGCTGCTGCTGCTGCTGCTGCTGCTGCTGAACTGCTTCTGCCACTACATCGACGACGACAGCTGGTTCGACGATCACCGCGAGTACGACCACGAGAAGTACGACGACGACGACGACGACGACGACTACGACGACCACAACTACTACCACCACTGCTACTGTCACTGTTGTTGCTGCGGCTGCTTCTACTACTGCTGCTGTATCCGCGACTGCCAATGTGTGACGACGACGACTGCTACGATTGCCACTGGCTTTGCCGTCCTTACCTTCATGTTTCTGCTACGGGTCATCTGTCTTGCTGCTTTGGTGGTGGTGTTAGCTCCATGGGAGAAGCCGGGTGGGTGGCGACGGTCACTGTTACAATTTTGGCAACTACGTAACTTGCAAAATTTGTGGCACTGCTTGTGCTGCTATACTGGTCGTGGATGTTAGCAGAACAGTTTTCCAAGGTCACGAGTGTACTCCTCTTGTTTGTAATTAACCCTTGTCGTGCCACAGTCATACGTCATAGTCAACGTGGTCGAGCAATGACAGAGTCATCGTGATCGAGCACCGGTGAAGCTATTGACTCTTACGGATATTTGGTGTCTTTTCCTGTGTCTGTTTTTCTCATATCTGCCACCCACCATGACCACCGCCACTACGGCAACCGCCACAGCCACCACGATGACGATGATGATCATCATGGTGTTGGCGCCGCTCCGTTTTTTTGTTATTGCTGCTGCAGCTCATGATGGTGATGATGATGATGATGATGATGATGGCGGCGGTTGAGGAGGATGGTGATGTCGGTGTTGATGTTGCAGCAGCAGCGGCTGCTGCCCTTTTTCATAACGATGATCATGTTGATGAGCGTCCCGTATGACTACATATTGTTTGAACGGCACAGGCTCCATGCGCGAATCGGACTGCACGCTACCATCATGAGCGAGTCCCATTAGATCAGCGGAGATCCTGGCGGAGTTGCAGACAGACCTTATGGGCTGAGGTGGACTATCGGCGATGTGCGCTTGTTTACATCTCCATCGTGCGGATCTCTGGCGCTGCGTGTCATCAGTGACCTGGAGTGCGAGTAGCAGCGGATGGAACTGGAGGTACCTTCAATTCGCCGACTACTTTGCCAGCGGCATCTACACTCATCGCTGGGTGCGCCCTGCTCACAAGACCACAACAGACCGGCGCCCAAACCCTGAACCCTAGAATCTCGCAAGACCTGGTCAGGCGGACCAGCTGATCCTGCTCCGAGGTGCAGCACTGTTCGGCCCACGAGTCGGGAACCCATCCTGCCTTCTGAAGTAGTGATGACTCTGAGTGTTGTGTTCAGGGCTTGATCGGGCAGAGCTTGCTGAACTGGCTGGGTCTTTTTTAACAGCTCGACTGCCTGCAGCAAAGTGTGCGTGTGCCTGCAGCCGTGGAGTGCCCCCGGCCTTGCCTCAATGTGGGAACTCTTCGCCGCGCCGTCGAGCAATGACGCAGGCCGGCCGTTGTCGGTAAAAGGGGAACTCTTTCCATAATGACTACTATATACTATAGTTGTTTTTGGTGCCTTGCAGAACAAGATGCAGTGAGATAATTCATGGTTCCCTGCATCCGTAAGAGGGCTTCTGAGCAACTGTAGAGCATTTGACGAAGCGCTTCGGTGCTGCAGGTGGAGCTTGGGCAAGCTCGGGGGTGTCGGGCTCTGAGACCACAGCCTCTTCTGGCCACAAGACAAAAGCTCTGCAAGCATCGGCCTGGGAACTTAGAAGTATAGAGGTGAGGATGATCACAAAGACGACGTCGATACTGATGCGATCCTGCGCGTCCAAGAGCTTGTCGGGCGCAACGTGAAGCTCCTGCAGGCCTTGATCCCTGTGCGCTGCTGTTCGACAGCACCTGGACCTTTTGTTGTGCAGATCAAGTTAGCCAGACGCAGATGCAGGAGATCATATCGGATGCCACCTCTGAGTCCTTCGCGGAAGGTGATGTGATTCTGCATGCTGGTGCCACCGCCTTAGAACATGCGTGCTGATATCCAGCGCGACAGCTCGCGCATTATTTTAGATTCAAGCAACGCCTCCTGCTGTTCGTACGAAGCTGTCGGCAGTAGAGTACTCGGCAACGGTTGACGCATCGGTTCTTTTCTTGATTTGTACATATTCGTGCATGCACGGAGTCTTCTGAAGGAACAGGTCGAGAAGATGTACTTCCTTCGAAGTGGAGAGGCAAGCGTTCTTGCTACCTGTCTGTAGCGTTACCCGCGATCCTCGGCACGGAGACGCCCAGCGGCTTCTATAGTGCTTTTGACTGTTCGTCGCGGTCGCCATTCACAGTTTACATAGGGCCTACAACCTGAACTCCGGGCCCTAGACTCCAGGTACTACATAGAATCACTAGAAGCAGTACGAAGCCTCGAAGCCAGAAATCGTAACCCCAGGCTATCCAAGCCTGGCTGCCCGGTCCGAGTTTGCCAGGCAATTACCCATAGGCCCCATAGTAGCTTGTTTTTGTGGCTTATATTTAGGAGCCTATTAGGGAATCCCCAAAAGGAACTACTATGGGGCCTATACGCACATGAGACGAATTGGAATTGGACTGAATAGTGCCGCAGTTCGATGTAAAAAAGGCTGGTAACCCGACCGGAACAGCCTCGCCTGAATTGTCTGAGTTGCGAGAAGCCAAACTCTAGACTAGTGCGTTAGCTCCGGCTGCGCAGTTTTTGTCGAGTTCTGTGTGCTTGTCGGGTTTTGCTTTTTCTGTTGTTCGTTGAGTCGGTGAGAAGCCGAACTCGACAGTGTGACCCTCAAACCACACCCCAACGAGCCCCCGAAACCAGAATCCATCAATCCCCAAACCCTAGAAACCCGAAGCCCCAGGCCCAAAACCTAAACTGCCATGCGAGAGGGAAAAAAACCCTAATGCATAGGCAGCTTGAAGTGGCACGCCGACTTGTGCACCTATGGATCCTCGCCTGGCTTGTCCGAGTTGTGAGAGTGTAAACCCTAAACCTTTCCTAAATCCTCACCCCAGGGACCCGAAGCCCGACACCTCCCAAAGCTTCCCGGAGCCCAGGTTGACAACGTTCGAGTCGAACGGGTTCCTAGCGGATCCATCTTGGGTCTCGCCGAGCCTTTCCTGCAAGACTTCTTTCAGGGGATCCCAAAAGGGATCTATAAGGATTAGGGCTTAGGGGTTCAGGGATCTATAAGGAGAGCCTCTTGCAGGCTGGATGCAAAAAAGGGATCTATGAGGTTTAAGGCTTCGGGGCTTAGGGATCCCAAAAGGGATCTATCAGGTTTATCGGGCTGAGGATCCCAAAAGGGATCTATAAGGTTTAGGGCTTCGGGGTTTAATTAGGGATCCTACAAGGGATCTATCAGGTTTAGGGCTGAGGGGTTAAGGGATCCTAAAAGGGATCTATAAGGGATCCTACCAGGGGTCTTTAAGGTTCAAGGCTTAGGGGTTTTGAGGGATCCTACAAGGGATCTATAAGGTTCAGGGCTCAGTGTTGTTCAGTTTGGGTTTGTCTTGAGGACTGCTTTTCGGGCTCCTTCGAGGGATCTTTTGGGGCTCCGTTTAGGGTTGGCTTCTGTAAATCCAGAAGCATAAAATAAAACGCCTACACTTGAGGACGATTCCGGGGTTTTTAGCATCATGGTTTTGAGGCTTCAGATTCTGGGGTTTAGGTTCAGAAACCCTAAAACCCTCAATCCGAATTCATCATGCTCTTCAGCGTCCCCTAAACCCTGAACCCTAAACCCTAAACCGTGAGGCCATGTTCGAGAATCCGCAGCTTCCCGTGGAGATCCGGGCGGCCGGGCCATGCCAATGCCGGGTCATCTCGCGGATTGCAGCTCGGCTACTTCGAAGGTCGCCATATGCCTGGTGCTTCCAACAAAATTCGGGTTTGGGGTTTCATGGGCCCACGTGGCTGGCTGAAGGGATGCAGGGCTTAGGCTTAGTGCATTGCAGTCCCTGCTCAAAAAATGGCCCCACCTGGAATATTTCGGGCTCTTTGCACACTCCCGATGCGGCGGCGTCCGGAAGTCATGCGATTCATCGTAAATTCGCGACGATTTTGCCGTCGTGCCCTGAAAATGCTCAAAGCCGGCCAGGCACGGCGGGGAAGCATCATGGTAAAAGGCGTTTCTAGAATCTGGTGGTCGTGGCCGTTGTGGTGCTCTATACTCTAGCACGGTTTGGGGATCCACGCTGGAATCATAGGTTGTTGAAACAAGTGTTAATTTGCATTTGGATGGTTGGATGGGGCAGCAGTGTTTAGGGTTTCGGATCCTAGGTACACTAACCGTTTGGATTTGGGGACTGGAACAATTACTTCTCACGATGCTCAAACTGACAGCCAAAGCAAAGCCCTAAGCCCAGACGACCCTTTGAAACCCGTCTAAAGCCTCAATTATGATATCCCAGACTAAAGCCAGTATAGAATGCGGTACAGCCTTTAACACCCCATATAAGGCTCCCTGAAGCTCCCTGCCCTGACCCAAGAACTTTCACACGGCGCTGCAGAACTATCCCGAGGACGGCCGACGTGTCGTTATTAGGTCCCGGTGAGAGATCGTCGGGGTTTTCATGGCACGGGGCGGGCATGGCATCGCGACGTGACAAACAAGAGACTCGCGAAGATTTTTGCGTCAACACTTGACTATGGACTCGGCCGCAGCCCAGGCGGCAACAGCTTCACAATGGAAAAACGAAATGTGCGGCACGTTCAGTGTCACCAGATTGGCAGTATAAACACAAGAAAGGAGTAAGCACACAAGACCATCAGTTCAGAACAGACCGCCGGACAGGGCCAGCAGCGAGTGGTGGCACTTTTGGGTTACACAGACGAATCAAAGGACATCGTAGCATCGCAATGCGTCGGGTACTTGTATCTAGTACAGCTTGCTGTACAGGTGCGAAAAACCGGCGTCGGCCCGCAACATGTAGTCACTCCAGGGCACAGGGTTGCCATGCTGCTATCAGACTTTGTTTTAGGAGTCTGATACTGTTCTGCCGGAAGCGTCTAGCTACTTAGCTTCGAGTGTCGTTGCAATCCGCCTTGAATTCCTTGGGACTGGCGGGCTATCGGAGGGCGGTCGCAGAGATGTAGCCATACAGTATGCAAAAACAGATAATTGTTATACGCGTGTGCGTGTGCGTGTGCGTGTGCGTGTGCGTGTGCGTGTGGCCGATCCCACGATCGATCCTCCAAGTCTATTCATGCCATTTCGAACAGATCAGACAATCTGGAACACAAACAAAGGCATGCAAACGCACGCGCACACACACACACACACATACACACACGCACAAACACAGACCCAAAGTGAAAACAGCAGGATTTATTACTCTTAAGATAAGGAGCCCCCAATCAAGGGAGAAAGCCGCAAATGGCTGCGTCTGATTCGAGCTGGTGCCCCTGGGCAGGACCTCCTCCACTTGCAAAATGAGGGGAGCAGGATGCAGAAGCAGGCGCCTGCCATCTAATGCCCATGCTCTACAAGCCCCGTAAGCCCTGAAGGGCCTGGGCCCCCAAAAGACTACTAATCTAACTTAGGGGTACTTAGAATTAATTTTTTAATCTTTGGCTACTATAAACCCCAAGAAGCAGCTAAAATTATAATTTTTGCTAGGGTCTAAGTTCAGTATAGCTACGGTATATGCCTCAAACTGTCAATCTGATCATACCCCATTCCCCCTACAACCCCATAAGCTCTCGACCTTCGAAGCCCTGCAACAGTAGCTTCTTGTAAGTTAGTATGTATGGTGACAATACATGATATAATGCAACAGAATACAGTGTAATATTATATTACACTGTGTTCTGTTGCATTACGCCTCCATGAGTCTCCAGCCTTCAGCTTTACCACAGGATGGCGACCGATGGAAGCGACTCGGTGCCGTCCAGCGGACCAAGAAGAAGCTGAAGGCTCCGAAACAGCTCCGACCGAAAAAGAGTGTTGGGTTTTGGGAGGATTCAGGATTTAGAGACGGGTCTTATAGGGCTAAGATATAGCGGGGCTGAAGCCTTGTCACGACTCGATTTCCCATTTCCATAGAATTTTTTGTGTTTTCCTAGTCATCAGTCGTCATCAATATAATGCCTATTGATTGCTACTGGTAAGCCACCGAGAACCAGGCTATCGCCAGCATGCGAGCCGAGCGGGCATCGCAGAAAGCTGCCGAAGCTGATGATGAGGCCAGCTGGGGGGTCGGGGTTAGCGGCCAAGCCAGGGCATATCAGGGTTTAGCTTTTATGTCTTGGGGCTTCGGGACAGATCTGACTC